TAGTTCTCACCGATTCAACAAGGATGGTTTTTAAAAGGCTCCTTTCCCTATCTGCTCTATGGAGACAATCCACCAAAAGAAAAAAAAAATTCAAATTCAACGCTTCCTTGGGGGTTAACTTTGTTGATAAAGAAAACAACATTAAAGTAACAGACACAAGCATAATCTTTCCCTGTAGTCTTGGAGGTTTCTAAAGTTCCTCTATCAGAATTGCTCAGCTCAGAAGAATGGACTTAATGCTTTGCTAACAAAACTAGCTAAAACGACAGTGCTGCTTTGGGTAAACACTACTGCTTCTATAATGAGGTAGATACAAGAAGAAATGTCAAATCGTTATAGTATACCTGCAAGATATAAATAGATTGTTTTGTGATAATTCTGGCATTTAGGATTATAAGAACCAACTCCTTTGAGGAATTATGCAAAACTCTTAATGAAACTCTGTTTATACTTCACATGGAAAAGTAAAAATATTTTCTTTTTTTAGGTGCCTCTCATTACAGTTTTATAGCTGGAAACAAGAAGTTTCTTGGAACCTGTGATGCTCCACAAAACACTGTCAGGAAAACTGAAAGACATCATATTTTAGCACAAGCAACAGGAATTTATTTTTTGTTTGATTACACAAGGAACAAATCAAGAATGTGGAAAGTAACCAAAATTCATTTTTACTAGTGCTTGTATTTTATATGGGTTTGTTAGTTACTGTTTTGCTAGCTAAAAGACAGATCCGATAAAATAATTGTTAAAGATAGAAGTCAACACTGGTGACTGACAGGTCTGCACCAGAAATCCATTGTGTAGAAATCTATTAACAGCCTCCTCTAAAGAAACACAAACCAGTCTGATCAGGTCTGGGAGCCCAGGTCAAAACTTCCAGAGGTCTTTGAATACAAAGTTTCAAGACACAAAAAAACTTTTAAAATTAATAAAAAAGCAGTTTGCATTCTGAAGCCTCAGTCTAGTGACTGGAACATCTGGACAGGGAACATAAGCAACTGCAGGTATATAGCAGCTCCCAGTACTTAGAAATGCCTCTGTTAATTACTCACTTCAGCTGAAAAGGAGAGTTTTAGTTAGGTAAGACAATGTATTTTTAGACTTTGGTTAATTTTTAACCCTCATCTTTCTGCTTGCGATAATTCTATGGATGGATAAACACATTTCAGATCTACCAGTTTTCTCTGACATTGCCTTTACTACCAAGTTCAGTTTCTGAAGCTGATTCTGGAGGATAGCCTGAAAACTGCTGGGGGCTTCAGTGGAAATAATGCAACTAGTAAATAGAAGATGCCATAAACCAGCTATTCAGTCAGAAGCATAATGAATTAAGGGATTCTGCTCAAAGAAACATAAGCAAAAGAACTCTTATTTCCAGGACAACGTCACAGAGAAACAGAGATCCAAGACCATAAATAACGCTCACACCTGAACCATGAAACAATTGCCCTCCAAATTAAAATAAGTTCAACATGCACACATGCAAAAACTATCTCAGCCAATCATGCACAACTAACATAACAAAGCTGTGACTTTTTTGTTTTAAAGATCCTCAATACTTTTGTAGTTTCCATCAGGCCAAGGAAGAGTTCATGACAAAGATTCAATGTTATTTGTCCTTTAAGAGCCACTCTCTAGAAAATGTGGGTCACTAAGTCTCAAATCAGTTTTTCTCAGGTGAAATTACAGTAAGTTAATTTATCAAGACTAGAAAGACATTACATCTCCTGCCAGTGTGACTCTGATACAACACATGCTGACACAAACAAGAGCTACAAGGTAAGACTAGCTTGATAATCACAATACTGCATCTTACCTCATTGAAATCTCCAATCCTTGGAATGTGATTTTTCCTACTTTTGCCAAGGACAGCTCCAGAATTAGAAATGACCACTGCAGCATTCCACAGAGTTCCCCCGTGTATTTCATCTCGCTCCAGGATTGGAGATACCACAACCATATTGTATTTCTTTGCCAGCTATACAAATAAACACAATTCTTCTATTATACACAAGCCTGCAGTAATTATTTTCAGTTTTTGTTCATAAAGAAGTATTAAAAAAAGTTTTCATCTGGTACATTACTCTGACTGTTATCAAGTGCTAATGCTTAACCCACACTGGCACTTCCACATCACCACAGTTTTCTTCATCAAAGATGGATATATCACAGAGAGCTTTTCAGCTGAATCCTAACTAGAAATGCAAGGTACCAACAGGAAAAAGCATCCTGAAAGCAATGGTCAAACTACAAAGCCGATCTCCATCTATTCACAAGTGTAAGAGGAGATAGATCCCATTCTTCCATTCTGGTATGCCACATAAGTGGTATACTAGGATGAAAGACATCACAGCTACCTGAAAACAGTTTTATTAATAAAAGAAAAAAAAAAAGGAAATGTAAAATAGCATTACATGTTAACTATAAATGTTAAATAACATAGGTGTGAGTGAGAAATACAGCAACTTCTGACCACCAGTTTACTAGCACATCGTCTTTTCCTTCAAATCACTTCTTTCACTTCTCCAAACTTCCATAGTGTCAATAATTCCATAGTGATAAGCAACAATTACTTGCCCTAGATCAGACTAAAGATATTATGCTGCCTACAAAACCTTAATAGATCAGTGCATATCTGGGCAAATTTGACATCAAAACAGTCTTCTGTTGTTTCAATCACTTGTAAAAAAAATAATTAAAATTTCATATTAGAAAAAAGTGTCAGAAAACAAAAATAAACTCTGCCACCCTTGCAATCAGCAGCCTCTGGAAAAACAATAGCCAGACAATAACAAACCTCCTTGGGTCCATAAACCCTCCCCTATATTTTGTGTCATTTCACAGACAGATGCAAAAGATTTGTGTCAAACTGTTCCCTGTTCAGAAAAGGCTAGCTATTCTTCTCCTCACACCTTCATACAAGCATTGTTTAATGCTCAACTGTTCTAGGCAAGAAACACCTTTTAAATGCAAATTAAAAATATTTGTACAAAGAATAGTTCCTCTCTTGAGAACTCACATGTATTTAAATGGGCAGTTTCATACACCTTCCATGGAAAAAGGTAGTCTATAAGTGCAAAGTAGTTTAAAAAATAAATATTGAGCACAGTTGTTGTCCATTTCTACTTCACTCACTATCATAATATTTGTCAAGCAAGTTGAAAACTTATTGTTTTTTATTTCAGTGACCAGTACATAAAGAAGAAATCCATGTTAATCAGTGGCAGTTATAGGCTGGGGTTGGAGGCTGGATGTGGGGTTTTTTTTTAGGCTGGATGTGGGGGGTTTTTTTTGCTTGGTTGTTTTTTTACCTCTTGACAGAATTTTGTTGTTGGCCCATCCTCTGCTGACTCAGCAAATTCAGTCCAAGGAAGCTTCTCTCTTGTACAGAAAGCAAAGGGCATGGCTAGAAAACACCGACACAAGACAAAATTTACAAGAATGTTCATGTCACTCAAGAAATACACACTACATTAATACAGTTTTCCTTGTTTAAAAGGTAAAAGCTGTTTAAAAATATTTTTAGCAAGGGCAAGGAGTTTTGGGCCCACACAGAGCAAAGCAGAAGAGGAAGAATGCACTTAGGGAATGCTTACCAGGGCTAAAAATACAAAATACACCCCAGTCACTAGTGTACATTTTCTGTGAATAACCTGTTTTAAAAAATATTTCACAGGCTTTCATTTTGTTTTTTGCCTCTATTAAGCCTCAAAGATTCCATTTTAATTAAAATTAGATTTTTAAAATTTTAATATGTCTAGAAAATAACCAAAGTTTTAAGAGAAAAAAAAAATTGAGGAAAGGATCACAAAGGATGACACGAAGAAGGAGCATGCCTACAAATATTGCTGTTGCAGCATACACCAGTCTTCAATATAATGGACTTCACATACATCTTCCATACAGTTCTACTAACTAAAACTCTTAGGTTTTTCCTTTAGAAAGCAAATCAGTAAAGTCAACTGTTTTATCTTGGAAAACCTCTGCTGTTTACTTCCAAGACATAATTCTAGTACAGGATACCTGTTAAAATAGAAAGAACTTGACCTCTGACAACCTAAAAGGAATCACAGAAAATACTCACTCCAAGCCTCCTGGAAACAAACAATGTTGACCCCACATATTGCAGCTACTTCCACAATCTCCTCAATTCGTCTGTGCAGTGCAGCCACCTGATTGCAAGAAGTGTCATGCTATAAAAAAAGTTGTATGTTCTAATTCACTTGTATATTAACAGCCTAGTTTTACAAGCTTTTTTCACATTGAATTTATCTTGTTCTATACTTAGTCCCATTGCCTTCAGGGGGACTAACTCAAGAAGTTATTGTTCCTGAACACTGATAATAGAAATAGTTAGATTTCAAAAAGCATTTAGATGTCGAAAATAGAGAGAGCAAACAAAAGGTATTCTAATTCCATGTTTACAACATTTAAATAGATGGCAACTCATTGCTGACTGATTTGCAAATAGCTAAAAATCTTAACAGAATCAGCAAAAATTATAATTTTGCTGCTCATGGTAAGCAACCAACAGAACAGTGGTAAGTGAACACGAATTCGAAGTCAAGTACTCAGAATCTTAAAACATGAGGTAAGGACAGCCTGTTTTCTTGGTTATCTCCGAGTCCTGCTCACACACGTAGATCTTGGACACTCTCTAGAAGTTAACTCTAAACTGTTTTCTAAATCCTTTTGTCCTAAGAGCTAAGTAGATTGTTACCAAGAAAAAACATCAAAGCATTTATTAATTAGTTAAAAAAGAGTTTCAGAGTACTTTTTTCTTGAGTATTCTACTTAAGGATAAGCATAGGTGTAGCACTTTGCATTGATAGTTTCAACTGTCAATAAAAAAAAAGGGTGCAAGACAAGTCAACAGTGACCTATGAAGTCAACAACTGTACACTAATTTACAGAAATAGTTAACTAGTTATTTATAAGGTAAAATCATTAATATAACTGGCAGTCTTTTCAACAGATGCTACAAAGAATCCACAAACTTGATCCATTTACTGAATTAGTTACTCGCATCTGTGACAGGTAATCTTAATGAAACAAATCACTTCAGAAACGTTCTGTCCTGTCACTGTACAAAACTACTACTCCAGGAGATTTTATAAACGCAATATTTTCTTTCTCTTTTTAGAGCTACCTTTAGGAGGCTATTTCCATACACGTGTCACTTCAGTGCTTTTGTGTCCAAGACATTAAGAGACGATGGTCACCTTGTAATAAGATTTCACTTACTGCTGTACAAAGAATAATGAACCCAGTTTTATTAATCTGTGTTTACTCTAATGGATTTTTCTATAATGGAACATTTCTCAATTAAAGCAAGAACTGCACCTGTGGTTTCCATGGGTTGCCATCTCTTTTGATTTCGGGTAAATGATTTTCTGTTTCATTTTAGAGGCAAAGGGTTTTCATGTACAAAATCAGCAACTAAATATTTAGCTTTGGAAAAACTGCAAACAGGCTGAGCAATTCACTAGGTAAGCAAAATACAAGAGATACTTCTGAATAACAATAAAACTGAATGTGTCATTTGAATTTCTTGCAGTATGCTGTATTAAGATAGTGATGGCTCCTATATTGCCAGACAATCATCAGACATTTCACAATGCAGATTCTAACATCAATAAATGAACTGTGTTATTTCCCAATCCAATAGAAGAGGAAATACACACTAACGGCCCAGACCCCAGTTTGTGTACCTGGACTGCCACTGGTGTGTCTGTGGGAAGTGGAATTTTGTTCTGTACCAATCCCACTCGAACAATACGTGGCCTTCTCAACTGCTCTGGAGCAGCTTCAAATCCATAGCCCTGTAGCTCAAAATCTCTTTTCTGAGCTGCTGATAGAGCAAGAGCTGGCAAATCAAGTTTTCTGGATTGAACAGGAAACAGAGACATTTCAAGATGAGATGTTCTCCTCGTCTGCTCTGAACACAATGGACCAAAGTATCACAAACACTATCTACCCCTGCAGAGACACCCGAGCTCCTATGCCCCAACATGCAACCATCAGACAAGGGCACAGTTAGACAGTAGCCAGGTCATGTGCAGATCTCACTGCTCTCCTCCATGGCAGCAAGCTCCCAGTGTGATTTCTAGACACTAATACCTTGCTACAGAACTTCCATCTGTCACCCCCAGATTATAAACACTTTCCCTCCAACGTATCTTTCCTCATGTTAGACGCCTGCTTTTCCAGCTCCCTCACCCGAATCACCCCCCCCCAAACTATCCCACTCAGGTCTTTCATTCCAGTCAGCCACCTTCTCATACGACCTCTCTACTGCCCTGCTTCCCAAACTTGGATTACCTCCCAACTACCCCAGTTACCTCACCACAGCCTAACGTCACCGCAGTACCACAATCGCCACAGGACCTACCCTTCTGCTTCTTTACAGCCCAGCCCTGTGTCTTGCGCACCGGTCCTCAAACGGACTCCTTCCCCCTCACCCCTGGGCTGGGCCTCCCCGCGGAGCCCGAGGGGGG